GACTCGACAATACTGGTGGTAAAAAAAAAACTCGGTCTCTCTCTCATAGGAACAGGACACAACACAAAATAAAAACATATATATACATATGGACATGGAAAAAAAACTTCCTACAGGGAGGGAAGAAAAAAACATGTGGGGTGTGCTAAACATCGTGGTCATAGGCAGTGAGCGTCAAAGGGCATCACTGCACGCCTTCCTGCATCTGGACAGATACTGCAACACAGGAGACATCGCTGCGGCTGAGCTGTGATGTAACAGGGTACAGTCTCCTCTGGAACGGTGAAGCAGACATCGTAGGAGTCGCTGCAGGTTTCACTCAACCTGGGGCACAACATGCTGGTGCCCTCAAGTGAGGCGTTGACAAAACTCGGCAACTGGGCAGGACTTCTGGCAAGCAACTCAGGAGGACACTTCTCGACTGGTACTGTCGCTGGGCTGTCACTGCTGGCGAGCGTGGAGCGAGTTGTGGAGCGAGTCGTGGCAGAGACGACTGGGCGAAACATCTGTGAGTCGTAACATCATACACCAGACTGCAGTGAGAGAGCTAGCAGTCAAAGTGACATCTTCTTTGTGCAGGCTGCTCACTGAAGCCTGTGACACGAGGCTGACACAGCGCCTGCCGACAGGGCTAACTGCGGCTTGACGAGTGTCATTCTCTTGGCAGTTGGAGTTATAGCAGAGGTTAGTCTAAGCATCCCCAGACTTGTTTCTCTACATATAACTGCATTCTGAAGGTCTGGAGGTGAAGTGAAACAAATCTCGATGGGAATCGTAGCAGGTACGATTCTGCAGAACATCACGAGCGACGAGCATAAGAGCTTTCTGTACAAGGGGGATCATACGCTCGGGGGCTGACTGATAACAGCTGTCAAACGCACTGGTCACGCTGGGTGACTAACACAAGGGTCTGACCGCAGACCTCACTGGACACACGGAAACTTTAAACACACTGGCGGTACAACAACATGTGAGAACACTGACTAAGAGGAATTAATTAACACACGACATATATCTTCTCTCAATCTTCTCGAGAATACTGAAATAATTACTAGAAACACTCGATGTGACATCATCAGACATCTCGAGGTGACGTCAGGCAGACATCGTGACGTCATGAAGTCGGGCAGCAGCATCGGTGACGTCGTGAAGTCAGGCAGCAGACCACAGCATGAGGCCTGGGACATCTGGTAACTCACGTGGCTTGTAGATCCACGTGACATCGCCCACACCCAACATGGCGTTGTGATCTACGTGGCATGCTGATCCACATGACTTGCTGATCCACGTGGCTTGCTGATCCACATGGCTTGCTGATCTACATGGTATGCTGATCTACATGGCTTGCTGATCCATGTGGCTTCCTGATCCACGTGGCTTGGTGATCTACGTGGCATGCTGATCCACATGGCTTGCTGATCCATGTGGCTTGCTGATCCATGTGGCTTCAAGTGGCCTCGGGCACTCAGATACACAGCACCGACAATGAATTCACACGAAAAACAGCAGAAAACACAGCAGAGGGAGTGAGCAGTGGTGAGTGTATGGTAGACGGGTGAGTGTGAGTAGGGCGAGCATGGGCGAGGTGAGGAAACAGCCACTTCCTCCTCCTCCTCCCCCACCCACAAATACAGGGACACACTGGACACAGAAATCACCACAAAACTCACCTCTGGCTTGCTGAAACAGCTGTGCTGAGCTGAACAACAACAGCAACATAGAAGTGACGCTGAACACGTGACTTGAGAAACAACGTGGGACGCTGTAGCATGGGGTCACTGGGATGTCACTTACAATTCTCGAAGAAATTCGGCAAATTTCGGCTAGATCCTGCTTGTATCTGTGTCTGGATGCTGAAATGTGCAGACACAGCTTCAGGATAACTCGTTGAGAGACGGATGCTTCTTGCATGGGATGATGAAGTGAAGATGACTTCATTCCTTCCTTCCTCTCTCCGGGCAAACACAACTGCTGCGACCACCGCTTCCCACCATTTATAACGAGTTTATTTGGTGTTCTGGTAGCGGGCATGTGAATGATAAATGTCTTTGGAGGCTTCTTACTTTATTGTTAAGTCGTGGTGGGTACACAGGCTTGTGTGTTGTGCCCATGGCTCGGGAAGGGCCATCCCACGAGGGAGAGAGAGAGGACACTTCTTGCCTGAGTGAAGGGTGTTGCCAGAGTGAGAGTGAGGCAAGGGCAGGCAGGCTGGCGTGCCCACCGAGAGGCCTGGCTACAGAGGGCAGCACCTTAGTGCCGCGAAATATGAGCTAAGCTGGCAGACAGCATGGGCTGTCTGTGCAGACAGTACAGGCTGTCTACATGGGCCACCCTGCCTTGGTGGAATACATCCGGTTTGTTGAAAAAAAAAAAAACATGCAAAGTTTCTTGCTACTTCTACTTATACTTAGATCACACTACACATGGATGTACAAGCATATATATATACATACCCCTCTGGGTTTTCTTTTATTTTTCTTACTAGTTCTTGTTCTTGCTTATTTCCTCTTATCTCCATGAGGAAGTGATACAGAATTCTTCCTCCATAAGCCATGCGTGTTGTAAGAGGCAACTGAAATGCCGGGAGCAAGAGGCCAGTAACCTCTTCTCATGAATATATTACTACAGTTAAAAAGAGAAACTTCTGTTTTTCTTTTTGGGCCACCCTGCTTTGGTAGGATATGGCTGGTTTGTTGAAAGCAGAAAAAATGGGGCTATGTTCTAAGACCAAAAACACACACTACATACTCTAAATTCTTTAGCTCACATTCTGGCAACCCTGACTTCTTAAAACTAAATCTTTTAAGATAAGGTTAACAAGCTGAGGTGCAAGGCTGCTTTTCTTATGTGGAGTATCTTCAGATATTGATGACTGTATTGGTAAGGCAAAGTGTCCATAATGTTTTTCTGAACTGTGGTACCCTACATTTATTTGAATAGCTCACGACGTGGTGGTTAATGGAATTCAACACTCCCTTCTCGTTTTAAGAAACCGCTTTAGCAAGAACCCTTACAATCTTGTTAAAGCCCAAGCAAACGCTCCCACATGATTGTTGGCACGAACTGATTCTGATCTTCCTGGGACTATTCCCAATGCCTTCTTACATATTCTTGAAGCTCTTATCATCTACAAACCTTGTCATCAACAGCCTTCATCTGACTTCTTTGTGTGGGAAAACCTTGAAAATACCAGCCACATCATGCCATAATTTTTGATGCCTGCTTTTTTAAAGGAGTCTGACTAGCTTCATTCCATGATGGCTTTATGTTTGCAATTGCATCTGCAATTTTGAGCCCACACTAAGTCTTGGATTTCTTTCTTGAGGATTCTAATCCACCACCCTAATAAGGTTCCTCACAGTTCTGCTTGTGTATTACCACTTGAAGCCCTCTGTAAAATCTTAGTCTAGGGCAGTGGTATTCATTGTGCGGCTCGCGAGCCGCCAGCGGCTTGCGAGCCACTATTAATAACAAGATATGCAGGCTAATATTACAATGTCTGATTTTTCTCATTTACTATATTGCACTAGCAGCTCAGTACTACTTAATTTAGTTGAGTTACGCTAACTTGCAGTAGCTGCAGCTCTCTCAATCAATGTGTTTAACCGAAGTGGCTCTCTTGCAAAAATTAGTGAATAACACTGGTCTAGGGGTTGGGGTAAGGAAATCACATGAGTTGTATTCCAAAACATTGCAACAAGATGACTAGGGGCATTGTCAAGAACAATAACCTTGAATACAAGGTTATTTATGCCAGATATTCCTTTATCTAGGCAATAGTGTGTGAAATGATCACTAAACGAGAGAGAAATCTATATCTTGGAAGACTATCAATGAACAGATAAAAAAAAAAATTCACCCTTCATAGTGGTAGTATGTAGTAGTATCTTTGCATAGGACACCAGCATGGGTTTACACTTCAAACCTCCTGATGTGTTAACCCAGAAAAGAAATTGATCTTAGAATGGATGAATCCCTCTTATAACGAATAAAAGGCAAAAATACCATTACTGGAACAATACACAAATAACCTGCATGTGCAGGCTATTTGTGTACAGAGTCCACCTATGATAGGTGAGGTTATAATTGAATAATTAAGCAAACTCAACAGGGTACTGCTTGGCATATCTGCACTTTCACTAGAAAAGTGTTGTACAGTTTACTGCATGCCAAATGGCCAAACCACCCAAAACTAAATATGCTCCTTTGTAGGCTGGGCTTCCTGCTGATAGTTTCAAAAAATTTGTGCATCATTTCTTTGACCATAGCTGCACTATTTAAATGTAGCTCCCTTGGAGAAGCACTGCAGTAGCCCTACTGGCCCATGCTAGGCAGGTCTAACTCACACCCCACCCATACCCACTCATGTACTTGTCTAAGGAGTTTGTTCCTTTCATCCACAATTCTATTACCAAACCAGTACTTTCCTATATCCTTTCTAAATCAAAATTTTCCCAATTTGAATCCATAGCTGCAACTCCTCTCTTGGTTAGATATTTTAAGGACTTTTTTTTTATATCCCTTTATTTATTGCTATATTTCATTTATACACCTCAATCATGTTGTCCCCTAATTCTATGCCTTTCCAGTGTGCATATTCATTGCCCTCAGTCTATCCTCATAAGCAAGATTTCTGATACATGGGATCAACTTGGTCATCTTTCTTTGGTTGTTTTCCAGCACATTTATATCTATTCCAGAACTGCAAAGCATAATATTACTAGCAATCTTCTTAAGTGCCATGGTTACTAGTTAATGATGAGCAAAGGGGTAAAAAAAATCACCTTTTCCCTGCAAAAGAAAGTTTCATAAACATGGGGTATATGATGACAATGGTAATGGTCTGTGACTAAGGTGGCTGGTTAGGATGACTGGAGATTCATGTACAGGCATATAACATGTGAACTGCCCTAGTCCCAAGCACACCAACTAAACAACTTAAATTTTTCATATTTCCCCAGGTTCAGTACAGTACTTAGATTCTAATAATACATGCTCACCTGGAAATCAAACCTGCGCCATCCTTGGTCACTTTTGAATTTATAGACTGTATTTAGTATGTGACAGAGTCCACCACCAGGTTTGAAGTCAAGGAAGCATTTCATCTGCAAAAAGTTTCAATATAAGTACGTACAGAATAGTGTTTTCAGTGGCAAATTTAATTCAGTCAATAATTAAACCAGACTATACATTAAAACTATTATGGTTAAGACAATTTTTCCAGTCATACTGCAAGACTGTACCTAACCTGCTGGTTTAGATATAATTTTTACTGCTTTAAAATAAATGGACATAAAATTACGTCAGTGAGTGGCTATAAAACCAAAATGCCGAACAAATTTTTATTGGGACTGTTGTACTCAACCCTGAATGAAAGGTAGTCCAAATAAAAGTTTGTTCTGTACAATGTTTTTATATTCATGTAAAATAAATCTTTCTTCTTTCAACAAATCAGCCACATCCCACCAAGGCAGGGTGGCCCAAAAAGAAAAACGAAAGTTTCTCTTTTTAAATTTAGTAATTTATACGGGAGAAGGGGTTACTAGCCCCTTGCTCCCGGCATTTTAGTCGCCTCTTACAACACGCATGGCTTACGGAGGAAGAATTCTGTTCCACTTCCCCATGGAGATAAGAGAAAATAAACAAGAACAAGAACTAGAAAGAAAATAGAAGAAAACCCAGAGGGGTGTGTATATATATGCTTGTACATGTATGTGTAGTGTGACCTAAGTGTAAGTAGAAGCAGCAAGACGTACCTGAAATCTTGCATGTTTATGAGACAAAAAAGGACACCAGCAATCCTACCATCACGTAAAACAATTACAGGCTTTCGTTTTACACTCACTTGGCAGGACGGTAGTACCTCCCTGGGCGGTTGCTGTCTACCAACCTACTACCTAGGATGTAAAATAAATATGTACTGTAAATAATATGAACTGCCAACTTCCATAATATATTTAAATTTAGTTGCAATGATATGTGAAGTAACTAATCACACAAGATGGGCAAACCATAAGAATAAAACAGAAGAAATGTTTATTAGGTTGTTTATCACTACTTAATTTAGTCCCTTTATATATTTCTCCTGAAACAGTTCGCTATATACCAATACCTTGTACTGCCCTTCATTCAGTAATTGCTATACTCCTAGTTTTAAGAACAATTAAGGGGCTACTTTCAGGTGTTATAATATTTTTCCCTCTTGTCCATATACATAGTCACATTTGTTAAAATACTCCAGGTGCTATTGGCTATCTCAGGTACTACTGTTTTTTAATTTAATTCTTTTATTATTATATTCACTAGCTCCTTTATTTTAGCTGTAAATATCTACCGTAGTTCATATACTCACATTTGTTAAAATAATTAAGGTGCTATTTAGATGCTAAGTGTATAATTGAATTATCTTTTCTATAATAATCCCTAGTTCTTTTATATTTTTATAACTTTCAGAATATTTACATAGTCTTATTCCTAAGTCTAGTTGTAGATTCACTATAAATCTTATAATATTTTACTCAGAAAATCTAGTTTGTAGAGTCACTCTCATTCTTATGACTACAGGCACAGATCCTATGTAAACTTTTTGCTAAATGATTTACACGAATCAAACAGCAACTGTAATTATTATACAGCAGACCAAGCAAAGACATTACTCAGAGCAAACAATAACATAACCATCTTTAACTACAATGTCAGATCCTTGAGCAAACATTATGACTACCTCACAGCATTACTCAGTTCCCTTCATTCCAATATATCAATCATCACAGAAGCCTGGCTTAAGCCTGATATTACAGATGTCTATGCCATTCCTGGTTACATGGCCATACACAACTGTAGGACAGACCAGCTAGGGGAAAGAACAGCTATATACTACTCAAATCAACTCGAATGTATCAAAAAATCTTGCACAAGGGATGAATATGGTGAATATATCATAGCCAAATTTAAATCAAAAGACCTGCAAAAACCCCCTCACAGTTATAAACATCTACAGAGTATCACAGTCAAACATGATTACTGATGCACACATGAATAAAGACCACCTGCTACTAACAGGAGATTTCAACATAAAATTACTACACGACCAGCACCCACAAGTAACCGAATTCACAAACACTATAAGCAACTGCCTGTTGCTACCAACAATATCTAAACCTACAAGAATCACCGAGACTAGTATCTCCTTAATAGACCACATCTGGACTAACACCATATCCCCTTTAAAATCAGGCATAATCAGAGACAACACTACAGACTATTACCCAACCTTTCTCATAACTAATCTAGGTAAATTTGCCCCAAGACATTACTAAAGTTACCTTCAGACTACACAACAAGACAGCTGTTAACAACTTTATAGCAGCTATGAATAACATCGACTGGCAAAATGAGCTCGAAACATATACAGATACGAATGAATGTATAAATAATTTAAAAAAAAAAAAAGGCCATTACCTCTACAACAAACATTGCCCTAAAAAAACTAAACAGATCACAGCAAAGAGACTGAATAGTCCCTGGCTAACACCCAGCATCCTCAAATCCATTAACACAAAGCACAAATATGAAAAACAGTACAGAATGGGTCAAATACCTAGAGACCAGTCTAAATGTTACTCATCAGCTCTTACCAGCCTGATAAGAAGATCTAAAAAATTGTATTATGAAAATAGATTACATAACATCAAAGGTGATATGAAAAAGACCTGGAAAACTCTATTTGAAATTCTTGGAACTAAAAAGCTATCCAAAAACAAAACAATCAAACTAACAAAATCAGACGAACCCCTACTCACACCAACTGAAACAGCGAACAGACTCAATGTTTTCTTCTCCACCATAGGAAAAATCTAGCAAACAAAATACCAAGCTCAAATACCTGTCCATCAGACTACCTCATAGGTACCTACCCAAATACATTATTCCTAGCTCCAACCAACCCACCAGAAGTCTCGCTCATCATCAACACCCTTAAAAACAAGGCAGGAGACATAAACAACTTGCCTGCTTTTATGTACAAAAAAGCTTCTCAAGTATTGTCACCAATTATTGCAACACTCTTTAACAAATCCACTGAATCATCTACCTTCCCAGCAATCCTCAAAATAGTGAGGGTCACTCCAATCCATAAAGGAGGTGACCAAGCTGACTTGAATAACTATAGACCAATATCTAACTTACCACTGCTCTCTAAAATCTTTGAAAAATTAATTCATAGATGGATCTATTCCTACCTCGTCTCACACAACATACTAAACCCTTGTCAGTTTGGATTCAGGAATAATAAAAGCACAAATGATGCTATCATACACATGCTAGAACTAATATATACTGCACTCGAAAAGAAAGAAATCCTGCTGGGAATTTTCAATGATTTACGTAAAGCTTTTGATACAGTCGACCATGAACTGCTGTACTCTAAATTAACATACTCCCTCAACTACCTAAAGTCATACCTTAGTAGCAAAGTCAATATGTGTACACAAATGGTGCAAACTCTTCTACCCAACCAATCACATTAGGAGTCCCACAGGGAAGTGTCCTTGGACCACTCCTCTTTCTCATCTACATCAATGAACTACTGAATGCATCACAGCTACTCAAACCCATATTATTTGCAGATGACACTACATACATCTTCTCCCACCCAAACCCAGTCATACTCGCCAACACTGTCAATGCCGAATTGCAGAAAATATCTGCCTGGATGATGACTAATAAACTTACCCTGAATACTGACAAAACCTACTTCATTCAGTTTGGAAACAAAGCTGCAAATGTTCCACTTAACATAACACTAAACGGATCACCAGTCACAAGACTTGCAGAGGGAAAATTCCTAGGTATCCACCTTAACAATAGCCTTAAGTTCCAGACACATATACAACAAATCACCAAAAAAATCTCAAAGACTGTAGGCATACTATCAAAGATACGGTACTACGTTCCACAATCAGCTCTCCTGGCACTGTATCATTCACTCATATACCCTTATCTCACATATGGAATTTGTGCATGGGGATCAACAACATTAAATCACCTAAGACCTCTAATAACCCACCAAAAGGCAGCAGTCAAAATGATAACAAATTCCCACTTCCGACAGCATACTCCCCCAATTTTCAAAAGTCTAAATCAGCTCACCATTAAGAACATCCATACTTATTCATGTGCCTACTACATACACAGAACAATACATGCAAATATAAACCCTCCACTCAAACTTCTCCTCACCAACCTTAACAGGACACATGACCATAACACAAGACACAGATCTCTTTTTGATGTACCTCCTATCCATATCACACTGTGTAAAAACTCTATGCACAGAAAGGGCCCCAAAATATGGAATTCATTACCAGAAGATACTAAAGTAACCCCGTCTGAAAATCAATTTAAGACTCTTCTCAAAAGCTACTTAATCACCCTAGACTAAATGCTCAATACTCAGTATTCCCATACTCAATACGTATTTCCATATCATAACTTTGATATACCTTTACATATACCTTTGAAGAGTTTTGAGAATTTATCTACTCTCTGAGCCCAGCCATGGGCCAGGCTTGTCTGGTGCTTGCCTGGTCAACCAGGCTGTTGCTGCTGGAGGCCCGCTGCCCCACATATCCATCACAGCCTGGTTGATCTGGCACCTGGTGAAGATACTTGTCTAGTTTCCTCATGAAGGCTTCTACACTTGTTCCAGCAGTGTTTCTGATATCTTCTGGTAAGATGTTCAAAAGTCTGGGACCCTGGATGTTGATACAGTGTTCCCCACTGCATCCCTGCTCCTCACTGGGTTTATTTTACACTTCATCCCATATCTCTCACTCCAGTATGTTGTTATGGCAGTGTGCAGATTTGGGACCAAGCACTCAAGTACCTTCCAGGTATATACGTATTATCACGTACCTCTCTCTCCTCCGCTCCAATGAGTACATGTTCAACACTTGCAGGTGTTCCCAGTAGTTTAGGTGCTTTACTGGCTCAATGTGAGCTGTAAACGATCTCTGTATTTGTTCCAGCTCCGATATTTCCCCTGCCTTGAACAGGGCCATCAGCACTGAGCAATATTCTAAGCGAGAGAGCATTAGCGATTTGA